TGCATTTCCCAATTTGACAAATACTTAATCTTTGACCTAAATAATGACATGCATAATAACAAAACAACCGTCAGTGACACTAAGCACATGTAACTCACAATAACAAACTAAAGGTATCATCTTAAGAAATCTTGGAAAGCAGTCAGTAAAATTACTATGTATGTTCATTTATGAACTCTGACAACTAGAGATCTAAATAAAGAGATCTAAATAAGACAACAAAGAGAAAGCTTGGAAAATGAAAGAGAAGCAAGTATGGCAGCAGGAAAGATCAGGGTTATTTTGGCTAAAAAAAAAAGAAAAACAAACTAAAAAAATAATGGGAAGGAACAAAGAAAGTAAACAAAGCATTGGAAGAAACAGTCATCTTGGTCATCAGCCAAGAAGTGATGTTACCCAAGAACACCAGGCAGTAGAAGAACTTCTTTGTTGTGTTATACCAAATGACTTAACCAGAGAGCTTTTTTGTATGGAAACGTCTACCAAAAAACAAAGACTCCAGGACTGAAAATACAATCTCTCTATTACACTGCTACTACCTGTATGTAGGTGCAATCAAATAAAACACTGCCATTAGTCTGGCTGTGAAATGACAGTGATGACGCTTCACTTGAAACTCTTAAGAAAGATAAAACTGTCCTAATTCTACAATTAAGAACACAAAAATTTCCTTAAAAAGATCTGACTGTACTGAAACAGTAAATGATTAATGTTACATCTTTACAAAAGAATTCATTGGTTCTGCAGACTTTTGAAGTTTCAGCAAATGTCTGACAAGAAAGCATTCTCTTCTAAGCTTTGCTTGCCCAAACTATCCACACTACCGAAGCCTCCTTTACCTTGGATACTTCTGGGTTTGCTGGCGTTATCGAAGTCACAGACCTTCTCCCATTTATCTCTCACTGCTTCAGGCGTCATTGGCTGATTCTTCCCTCTGACAATAGCACCCAAGGATCTCTCCCAGCGCACTAACGGGAAACATGAGCCAAAGAGATCAAGTAAGAAACAAAGAAACTTTCAGTTTCTTCAGATCACTTTCATCTAGGCCACTACTTTCAAGACTGTGCAAGAAAGGAAAGGTTGTAAGTACTCCAATTTAACTCATGAGTATAACTTCAAGCTGGACTAGAGGGCTCACTGCTTTTAACTAACATTTAGAAAAGGAATAGGACTGGGTTTAAGTTTCATTACAGCTACAGCAGACTGATTGCTCTCTGAAAATACTACACCAGTTTCAGGATTCTGTCTAACGAAAAGTTGTAGCTAGCATGCAGTTACAGACATTCCTTCTAACATGATTTTGGCTACTAATGCTTAGGAATTTTCTGAAAGCCTTGAAAAACTATAGGGGAAATATGAAAGCCACTTCTTATCTATGAAGAATGTCAGAATCAGTAGCCAGCACCTCCAAATTGTCCCTGAAGTTGTATTTCAACACTGCAACTTGAAAGAAACTGGTAAGGCTAATGTGAAATCAGTTCTGGAAAGACAGAGACTTCCTGGATTGCAACTAATCCTTAATCTATCACATTGGTTTTGCTCTAATTAGCAATAGACAATGAATAAGGCCACACCGGTACCTCACTAACAACCTGGTTTCATTTTAAAGATTTCAACACTAGCCATTAGAGTGATGAAAAACGATATTTTCTTTTGACCAGAGAGGAGATGCCACAGATTTTCAGTTCTATTAAAACCCAACTCCTTGTGGAGGGCAGCAAGATGTTTTACAGTGCTGCCCCAATTTGTTTAAGCTGTTTAACATGCTACCTGGGAAAAGCTATTTCAGTGCCAACAGAACATTTACAGTTAGTTAGAAATCTACAAAATCTTTATCGAGTGGGCAAAAGAACTGTTTTGGAAGAAGGGGAAACCACTTCTTGAATTAATGGCCCTACTTCCAACCCACTGGCAATATTCCTGTAGGCTGAAAAGCCCTTGAACAGTTCAGGAAAGTAATGCTGGTGTTAGCTTCAACATATTCAGGAAAAAAGTTACGACGTTTCACACGCTGAATTAAGTTTTCAATCACATAAGCCCTCAGTATGGTCTGCAAGTTTTCTTTACGTTCATATTAAAGCTCATTACTAGAGTCACTCAAGGAAAATACTTAGCTAGCATAGCTACTGATTATTACACAGGCTAATTGCCTCAATATGTTAATGCATATCACTAGTATTTTTATAGAAGTATAAATAAAAGTGGAAAGCAACTGAAAAGCAGCCTGTTTACCAGCATGTAATACTTCTATACCATGAAAAATTGAAGTTATCAGGAAAAGGCAGCAACACATACTTAACACCAAAAATGGACATTCTCCTTGGCTTCAATTAGACCCTTGGGATCCAAGAACTAAGGTTACTTAGGCAGATTTTCAGTTAATATTAGTCAGCTCAAAAGCATAATAAAGTACATACCTAAGCTATCAGTTTCCCCCATGTGTAGTGAAATTTGTGACTTCTACTTAAAATAAGCAGTCTCCAGAACCCTAGGCTTTTGCTATTCTTCTCTCCCTGAACAAAAATGTCCTGAGCAGAGGTTAACTGCAAAGACGTTTTGCATGCTTTTGCTGTCAATTCAAAAAACAAAATGAATCCTACAACACAGAGTACTTACATTTTCCAATCCATCCGGCTCCCACCTGCCAAGAAAAAAGAAAATCATCAGTCTATCACAGGTTACAAGGCAAAGTTTTGGTAACGTAGGGAAACAAAACTATACTTCAGAACAAACTCAACAGAATAAGAATTTCTGAACTACTGCTAGTTTTATTTAACAGCTCAGTTAAGCACTGGAACATAAGCAACACAGAACTTCCAAGAAGATAACAGCTTCCACCCAATCTGTGAGCTAGCAGTATCATGTATTCCGTAACTAAGCAATTAATCCTTCCTGCAGGTTGCTTTCTGTGTTTGAATGACTTAGAAAACAAAAACTTCTTTTAAAGTAGCTGCTTTGGTACCTTTTCAAACTTAAAAGAGTACAATAAGAAGTGTAACAATCAAATCAGTAATATTTTGAGAACACAACAGAATTTGACAAGGTTGTTACCGCCTGACGTACCTGTCATATACTGTACAACAGGGTAAACATTTCTTTTGTCTATGCTGACTATGTAGTATCTCACATGACAATTCAATTTCAGCAAAAAGGTTAAGGCTGGACAGGCTAAAGCAAATAACTTATTTTGGGGGAAGGGAGGCAAAGTTGAGAAAAAGTGAAAAAAAAAAATTACCTCAAACAGACTGCCATTCTCTGCACAGCTCTCGTGGCAAAGCCAAACAACTAAGGGAGCCACATACTCTGGTTTGAAAGCATCGACCAGATCTAAAGCAAATTGGAGGGGGAATCATAAAATAGAAATACCGCATGATTTCAACAAATTATTCTTATTCTAACACCTTCCAATGAACAAAAGAGCCAGGGAGAATTTAACCAACAGTGTTATGCCATGAAAAGAAAGTACAAATGAAACGAAACACCTGAAGATTCATTAAATCTGAACAACTCACGAGACGCATGAATGTCTCCCAACCCAATGACATCAGTTCTCATCCACAGATGAAAACCTGTCTAAACACTGCTGGTGTTGGCCTCTTCTCCCAAGTAACTAATGACAAGACAAGAGGAAATGGCCTCAAGCTGCACCAGGGGGAGATTTAGATTAGATATTAGGAAAAATTTCTTTACTGAAAGAGAGATTAGACATTGGAACAGGCTGCCCAGGGAGGTAGTGGAGGCACCATCCCTGGAGGTGTTCAACAGGCATATAGATGTGGTGCTTAGGCACATGGTTCAGTGGGGGGGCTTGGCAGTGTTAGGATAATGGCTGGAACTGATGATCTTAAAGGTCTTCTCCAACCAAAACAATTCTCTGATTCTAAACGTTCTGAACACCGTAACGTGTAACCTGCAAAACCAGGTACCTTCCTAAATTTCTATCTGACAACCAGCCTGAAACAAGCACAAGCCAACTAAACATAATCCTGACAGAGATGTACCTGAGCAATTTTCCTTTTAATTTGCCAGTCAGTTATGAAGAAAAGACAATACGAAAAGAACTGCAGCTGCTGAATATTTGAGAAACATCTGATATGAAAATGCTGATGTTTCCAAATGAGATATCAAGAACTATCAGCCCTGCTAAATTTATGAATAAATTGTATTTGGGGATTTCCACTGTCATCTGGCACAAGAGAAAACTAGCTGAAAATGGAGCACACTGTAGTTGTTCAGGCAGCTCGTAACACATACCCTATCCACTGCCTGAAAAATAAAAATAACTTTAATTCCCTTTTCCAGCTTTTAGAATATTATTCTTTCAACAGCAATAGATACATAGCTGTTCCTCAGCTAAAGGTCAGCAAGCATTTTCAAATATACCCTGACAGATGAAGAGCTGGGAAAGTTTAGTACTACAGGTACTTCTTTAATAGCCAAGCTGAAATAACAGAAGTCCATTTTTGTAAGTTTCACAAAGGTAAATGGAAAATGAACTCCAATAAGGTTGTGTGTTGTAAGTGCATAACAAAAGCATTAGGCTTTTCTAAACTATTCCACTTTGTGCCACGCACCATCTTGTCTCAAAAATTAGCACTAGACTGTTATCACTAGTGCTATTAATCCACTATTAAATGACTTAAGAAATAGGTGGTAGAAGTTTAAAAAAAACACACAAAAGATGCAAACTGCATTTAAGAGTTCTAGCAAGAACAAGTGGGCAAAGTTGAACATACATAACTATGGCAATGCTAAAGCATAGGTGCTTGCACACATCTAAAGATGAACAGAACAGCACTGACTAAGATAAAAAGGATAATTTGGTAAGACATATGAAAATGCTTTTAAAGTTCTGACATCCAAACCTTTTAAAAGTATAGCTTAAGTTACGCGTAAGGATAGGGGGGGAGGGAGCCACTTAAGAAATAAATGATCAGACCTGTTACTATCTTACAGGGAGACCAAAGGATCTCACTTCTTAAAATCATAGAATGCATTGGGCTGGAAGGTCATTTAGTCCAACCCCCCTGCACTGAGCAAGGATATCTTTAGCTAGATGAGGTTGCCCAGAGCCCCATTCAGCCTGATCTTGAACGTCTCCAGGAATGGGGCCTCCACCACCTCTCTGGACAAACTGCTGCAGTGCTTTACCACTCTTACGGTAAAGAACTTCTTCCTAACATTGAATCTAAATCTATCCGTTTCTAGTTTAAAACCATTGCCCCTCGTCCTATTGCTACCTGCCGTTGTAAACAGTCCCTCCCCAGCTTTCCTGTAGGCCCCCCTCAGGTACTGGAAGGCTGCTGGAAGGTCTCCCTGGAGTCTTCTCTCTTCCAGGCTCAACAACCCCAACTCTCTCAGCCTGTCCTCACAGGGGAGGTGCTCCAGCCCCGGTTGTATCACTACATAAATATCTTCAGGAGATTCCAGCTACTGTACTCCACTTTACACTTCGGGAACTCATGGCTGCAAGCTTAATGTAGCCCTTCCATAAATAAGTGCAATAAATCGCTGGAACCTAGAACATACAGAGGTGCTAGATTTCCTGATCACTTAGATCACTTAGACCTAAACCAGTATACTGTATACAGAACTTATAGGCAAACAATTAGGCAAACAAAATCACGCATTCAATTCATGCATAACTACGAAATATATCACTCTTCAATATCTTGTATATCAGTCTGAAAAATGTAATGATTCCCCTGGCTTTGAAATCTGGTTATCACTAAGGAAAAGAAGGGTGTGAGGGAAATGAAATAGGCTGATTCTAGAAGGCTTTCAGAGAGCAATTTCCTTTCACAGACTTTTTTTTTTCCAAAATATTTTTGTTTTTTTTCTGGTCTTTTGCCAAACTAATTAGTCACCCTATTTATCCTGTAATTAGTGACTCTACTTATCCTAAATTTACACTTTACACACAGCTGTCTCCTCAACGTTCTTTATACTGACTTCCCAATGCAGTGCTCAGTTAAAACCTGTTCAAGCATTCAAAAATTAGCAACTGTGCCATAAAGAAAAAAATGTATTAGGAAGTCAGTTCATTATCTCCTGCTGATCGTGGAACAAAGTACACACATGACATGTTGCACAAAAAATGGTATTTTGCAATTAGACAATATTATAACAAGTGCAAACCCTTATGCACATACCTGATTCCACATCTGACGAAACAAACAAGCCTTTCCACTACTGTAGGAGGATCTTGGAAGAGACTATAATCAAAGAGCCTTGCCACATGAAATTACTGTTTTGAATTAGAAAAATTGCTTCTTATCTTGTGGCAGAAAATAATAATTCCTTACAACAGACAAAGTAAGTTGACAGTTCAGAGACAAAAAGACAGTAGGAATAATAAATTAGCAGTGTAAGCAGTGTAAAGTATTTGCATTTTCTGAGAAATAAGAAAGCTAGCTGTGCTTTCTTCACCAAAATTCAACGAAAAATATCAGTACATGTAGACCTTAAGTGATTCACCTTGTGGCATGACTGTCTGGGTCAGTCTGGATCCAGCAGTAGGAGCAATCGTGTTGCAGTGGATGTTATACTTCCGGCCTTCAATTGCAATTGTGTTTGAAAGACCCAAAAGGCCAAGTTTTGCAGCACTGTAGTTTGCCTGACCAAAGTTTCCATATATTCCAGCAGCTGAAGAAGTCATAATTATTCTTAGGGGAAGAGGGGGAAAAAAAAGAAAAAAAAAAAGTTCAATGGTTTCTTCAAGTTATTTAATTCTACATGACAGCATTTTCCAGGTTTGGCTTTCTATTCTTCATATTTCACAAAACGAAGTGTTCAAATTAGAACACATTACTTGTTCTTTTTGCTAATAAACAAAAGCCTTTTTTATGTTTGATTGATAGCAAACTTCTAACAAATCCTGAAGCGTTATCATAGTGGCAGAAAACTAACAGAGTCATGAGCCTTTTTGAGTTATACTGCAAAACTAGAACAGATTCTGTATCAACAGGATACGGTACAGAGAAAAGTATTTTCTTTTCATGTTCTAACTGCACTTCAAGCGGCATTATTCTTAGAGCTATCAAATGGCTTCACCAGTCAGAAGAAAATTATTTTATTGAAAACGACCTCACCTTAATTTCTACCTGGTAATATGTGAAGATGTAGTCTTACATAATTCACATTCAAAGAATCCCCATGCATGTTAAACACACAAAGGAAGAAGACAGCAAAGTCTTGCCCTTTGCTGTCCCCTAACACTAGTGCTGTGCAGATGACCGAACTGATCACAAGAAAGTTCTAAAACCACTGCAGTTCATAGCTGGTTTGAGGCAAGAAAACATTGTGCTGCACGCCTTCTCATAAACTGGAATTTAAAAGAAAAGGGTCTGCACCTTCACTCTTGAAAGAAACCTTATCAGAATTTATTTCAATCTACTGTAAACACATGGCACAGCTGGGATCAAAATCTATGTAATTTTTGTTATTGCCTCACTGGCAATAATACAGTATTGTTAATCTAAATAAATAGATGTGTTAGAAATACTGGGTCAATATGATCAAGATGGAAAAAACTACAAAATCTATACAAAGCAGGCATTTTGTAGATGGCACGCGTCTAGATGTAAACTGCAGAAGCGCTCACTACCATTGTTATCTAATCAAATACAGAAAAGGAGCCAAGAGAAGCATTTTCCTAAATGGATGCAACTCCTAGACTTTAGCCATGTATTCTGCTTGCTGATCTCTTCCCTCACCCTTACAGTTCAGTTCCCTGCATGAGAATGAACGTCAGTTTGGTCACAGAACGACAAAGAAGCTCATACAGCTTCCAGCATGTGAGTATGGTTGTTGAGATTAATATAATCACATCAGTGTTTTGATAAGAAAGAACAACAAAAATTAAAAAACTTAAAGGTCTGAATTCACTGCACTCTTTCAACTAACAGTAACACAAACTAAAATAGACTAAGAACACTCCCACAACTTCTATAACATCTGTCCAAAGAGGGGAAAAAATCCTCAAAACAAAAATCCAACCCCAAACAAGAAACAAAGATCCACAAGCAGAACTGCATGTGCCTGTCATTTGAATAAGAAGGAGCAGGAGAAGAATCCCTCAGACTTTCAGAACCATAAAAGTAACAAACATTTCTAGCCAGTCCTCATGCAAAGAAACAGTATTTCTATAACCCTACAGCTCCTTTGTGGGATATCTGCATCTACATGGAAAAAACATTTGAACATTTGGCTGGGGAGGCGGAGAGGGGTACCGAAAGCATAAGGGCTTACATGTCTGGGCTGATTTTGTTTCATCCCAGTGACAGCGAAGGAAAAGGATGCAGAACTCCTCCTTCATTGTCAGGGCATGCATCAGTCTGTTATACCCTACCGAAAAAAGCTAAAAAAGACCAATTTTTACCTGCCAAATTTCTGATTTTTCATATGATCCCACGCAGCTCGGGTAACCAGGAACGATCCCCTCAAATGAATTCTATGAATTATATCTAGGAACAAATTAATGTCAGTTTAATAATTCCAGGATTTTGTCTCCCAACTTGAAATATACCATTTTTTTCTTCCTCATGACAAAACCTTTTCACACTCCCAAACTGTTGCTAAAAAAAGGGGTGGACTTTTTAAAGATCACTTTGAAGTGCTTGCCTGAACATACACTGATCATCTTTTCTGCCTATTGCGTAGATTTCCTGTACAGAATTCACAAGCATTCAAAATTCCTGCACTTAAGCATAATCAAACAAGGACTACAGAAGCTAGAACATCTTTGCAAAAGTCTGCTCAGCTGGCTTATCACCACCCACCACCTCACTGAAGGTCTCCCCTGTTTTTCTGTCCCTCAGCACACCAGCTTGCTTTCTTTTGTTGTTAGTTTAAGCCTGTTTAGTATTCAGACAGCCAGTGCTGGCACTAGGAATGTCTTCTGTTCACAAAAACATGGCTCTTTTTTGTATTCCATTCAGCAACCAGGAGTGGCAGCTAGAGTCTTTCTTTCCCTTTAGAACTACATACACCTACCATGCACTGCAGCACAGATCTGGTTCACAAGCTGAAACACAAGACAGCTGAACACAAGCAGCTCACTACTAAGCTTTCAGGGCAAAAGACAATTCTCTGATCTGGCACAGCCAGCCTTCCCCACCATCTCTTCTTCCTTGTACCAACGGGAGGGATGTACCTTTCACCTTTCACACAGAAAGTACATTTTAAAGTCTACCAACTCACCCCAATCTTCGTCACTTATCCGAACAAATGAACGGTCTCTTAGGATCCTAAAATGCATCATTAGGAGAACAAAACAAAACACAACAAACAAACAAAGAAAAGATTAACAGGTGTTTACACAAAAGTGACAGCCCACAACCAAACAGGAAAAACCCTCCAGGTTTACTCACCCAGCATTGTTTATAACGATATCTGCAAAATGAAGAAAACAAGCTAAGCGAATGCACTCATAAAATACAAGCTTGCTTCGATTTTTCTCCCACTTCTACAAGTACACATAGATGAAAACACTGCACACACACATCATATTAGTGTTCTATAGCTCCTTGTCCTGAACTCTACCACTGAACAGTAATTTAGACAAGACAAAATACTTCATATAGGCAAGTTTTGGCCTGCCAACAAAGCCTGGCAGGGAGGTATAGCTCAAAATTGCTGGCTACCTAGGAACACGATACCTGCAGGATACAGACACCCTGCGCAGTTTTGCACCTTGAATTCCAGAGTGCTCCCTATTATGCATTTTGTGCCACCATCTCTGTGGCAGTAAGCCCAAATGACAACTGTAAGAACCACTGAGTCACTAAAGCAACCTGGAGCATAACAATTTTTTGTCAAATATTTAATTGGTTCCTGTTGGCTTTGATCGTGTGTACTTTTAGCCATTTAACCCTGAGTTAAAACCACAAACTTCACAATTAAACAGTGGCAATCATATGACAAAGAGGAATGTTACCTGTTAGATAAAACATCTCAAGGGGTTTTTTTTTTAATTAGTGTTAGAACACTTTGGTGTTCACATTATTTTGATCTTCACAACGTTATTTATCCTAATTTTATGCAGTTAGTTATAATACTTGATGAACTACATGCTTTGAGACAGAAATTGTTAACCTTTACTTAAGTACCAAAATTATGAAGGGCGGGAAAACAAGAATCATGTATCAAGCTTTCAACTTCTGCTAAAAAGTACCAAAAAGACAGAAAAGTTGCCCACTCAGATTTAAAACGAAAAGCCCCTCATTTAGGTTTCACTAAGGGTATTAAGGGTTGATGAGTTCTACTGTTGTTACACTGTAGTTCATACATTTGTTCTCAATTGCACCATTTATAATGGCTCCGCACTTGCAAACAAATTACAACACAAATTAAGCAACTGTACCTATCCTCCCAAAAGCCTCAAGTGCTGTCTTCACAAGCTTTTCACCATCTTCCACCGAATCTGTAAGAAAAAAAGTATGAATTTTCAAGTAAAATGAACTGGATGCACTGCACTTCCAGGATACTAACAACTAATTCTAAGGAGCTACGAAAAATAAATTGTGTACAACCCCAATAAAAAAATTAATTAAAATTCAGCCACTATTTGCATGTGGCCTAAAGCAAGACCCACATAGTAAGTACAAATGGCACAATGTTTGCCACTGCGATAAAAAGAAGCAAAACAAGTAAGAATCATCTGTTCCCATTTTGCCTCTGACAACTGCAGACAGACAGTTTCTTAGTATTTCAATGTTAAGAAAGCTTATGAAAGAAAAGAGCATTACTAGATAAGTATTAATTAAAAAAAGCAATTTATGCACTTGCTTTTAGCATTTCTGTCTCCCTACTCCACATTACATTACACCTATTGAATTTATATGGTATTGGCAAGCTGGCAGTAGACCTTCATTAAGCAGTGTCAACTTTTCATCCAACAGGTCCACTATAACTATAGATAAAGCATTACACTAGTCTGGAAAAATAACATACCATAATTGGGTACTGCTTTCCCTCCTTTTGCTCTGATTTCATTGACAACTTTGTCAGCAGCTGAGGAGCTCTTGCCATATCCCTTGAAATCACCTCCAAGATCATTCACTGTGCATCACAAAGAAATAAATTTTTCACTGTTAGCACTTAGACTTCATGATCTCTCCTTATCTCATTATCACACAGGAAGTTATAAGAAGTATTAATAAAACCTGCTGCATTGGGATGCTACTAAGAATCTCAGATGATTAGAAAAGAACTGTAGGTCACTATTATTGTTTTTAAAAGTAGTATAACATATAGTACCATTTTTTTAAAGTAACATGGCAAACAGAAACCACACATTCACTTGCTTGCCCTGCCCAGTCTACCTCTGTAGTTGTGTTACTGTAGTTGAGAGATTAAGATCAAGATTACATATCAATCACAGGTGATTAATTCTGGTCTTTTTTTTCAAACTGCTACAGCTGCTGCATGAACCGTAAACAAGACTGAGAAGACTTTGTTCCTGTTAAATAGAGTAGCTAAAATGTTACTAGCCTCACTAGAACAGATCAAGCCGTCTGAACAGAGAAGAGCCTGCACTGGAGCTTCAGATCCTGCTTCTGTGGGATGAGAGGGCCACCTGACACAGACAGCTGCTTTGGTTCCAGGCTGCTCTCTGTACTGGGACATGCATCATTAATGGTAGCTGCACTGTATTATCACACAGTTTGCTGCAATGCTATATTTGCATGTCCCACGGTTTCATGGAATTCATCAGAGGAACAAAAACAGCTCCAAAAAATACATACACACGTTACACTTGGGCAAAGAATTAAAAAAAAACCACAACCTGTTAAGAGCTATGTTTAAACGGGTGCAAAATGAACACATAAGGAAACCAGAACTGACTATGGATTTACATGCAACATTGGTATTTTGCTAAACAGTCTTTTGCTAAGGTAAACTCCAGCTCTGTACCTTCTAACTTAATTTTAAGTCCTCAAGAAGCCAGCCATAGAGAAATCCACAAAATATGCAAGATATTCTTGCTGGTCTTGATGATAACCGTAAACCTGCTGCATCATCATAAAAGGAAATAAATCCGTATTGTGCCTTTTTTTTTTTTTTTTTAAAGTTGCCATGTAAAGAGTATCATAGCTTTCAGGACACATGACACAGTCATTTTCTACTACTCAGAGGAAGAAAGTTTCATCTAGAAACCTGTACCAAACTTTGTGTGCAGCACAGCAAGAGAAATGTAGAAACACTGCAGAAAATCCGTACAAGTAAATGAAAATGCCAAAGCCAGAAGAGGTGAGCCATGTAAAGAATAGGGGAAGAAAACAAAAAAACAAAACCACAAAACAACCCAAAGAACAACAAACCAATTTAAAACCAAGAACCGCCTAGCCTGAAGCAGGAAGAATTAATACAGAACATTACGATATGCTCAAGTACATTAACAGATCAATGCAAAAAAGAAAGGAGACAAAATGTCCAAGTTAAACAGATCAATATCTAACAGTTCAAACATGCAGTGAGCACAATTCAGGTGAGGTATTAGGGGAAATTTCCAAGTGTAGTGAAGCATTAGAATAGGCAACATGGGCAGACTGCTCAGTCTGCAACATCAAAGGTCTTTAACACAACATTAAAAAAAAGTGAGTCAGGAATAGCGCTAGGATTTCTAATCCGTCCTGGGAAAGAAGAGTTGACAATTTTGTGGTAAACATTTATACAAAAACTTGCAGTTAGTCTTGTTAAGACATTACAACTCTCTACCAAAGACATGCTTATATATGTTTATCTTTCACTTCAATAGCAATTTGCTGAAAAAAGGTTAATTAAATATTTGGGAAAAAGTTCCAGAGGCAGCAAAGCATCTTAGGCTGAGTGCAGGCACTAACAGAGTTGAAGCAAAAATGAGTGCACAAGAAAGGACAGCGCTATTCTATGCTTTGAAAATTATAAACTCCACAAATGGGATAGAGTAATTTAAAAAAAAAAAAAGGATAAATAACATCATTTTAAGTTCAAGTTTTACATCATCTAATTTCCAGTTGAAAACATCCAGTAGAAAAGAGCCAGAGACTGTAGCAGTTCTGACAGAGCACCCTTACAGTCTGAACCATAGAGAAGAATTCCTCTGAGGCTATGAGTGTGTTATTAGCAAGTAGTGCAGAGCAGCAGAAGCAAATCTGTAAAGTAAAACTACTGGTGCTGAGGACCTGACATCTACAGTACACGGTTTTTAAAAAATAAACCAGCTCATTTCTTGCTGTGGTCTGGTGCCACAAACCAAACACACCTTTGGAACAATTTAGGTGCACTGCTAAATTTCATCTTCCAGTTTGGTTTTCAAAGGAACTCCACTCATGCACTTCAACACCATCCCACAATGCAAACAAATACACAAACAGATACAAATCAGGAGAGATGCTTCAAAAGCATGACTCTAATCTAAACTAAAACATTAACACAGAAGAGCTGTGTTTCAGATAGACTGAAAAGGAAGAAACAGTAGGGGCTGGACATAATACAGGTTGCAAGACAAAACCAAAGCATTCCCTTCCTCCTGCTTTCAACTTCTTCTGATGAGAAGCACGAAAGAGACGAAGCGTGACAGAAAAGGTGGTAGCAGGTAGCCTCTGGGTGGTAAGAAAAGAAAGATTTCCACTTGAGTCACACTGGTCAGCCTAACCATGCCAACAGCAACTCACTCCACAGAAGGTTGTACGCAAACAGAGATATGGGACTGGACAGGAAAAGCTCCCACGTTGAGACACACTGGTATTGCTCCAGCTGGTGTATTTGATCACTGTTCTTACAACATACCTTCATTTCCATAACTTAAAGAAGGAACTTATTTTAAAGAGACAAGACATAAGTCTCGCATCTGCTTTAGTTAAAAGAATTAAAATCTTTACACAAGTAACTTCTCAACTCTTTGAAGTCAGAATCATAAGAGAACAAGACTAAAAAAATAAATACAAGCACGTAGAAGTAATTGCAAAGCACTACTATAAGAAGAGGTGAAGCGAGGTATAGTTTCCAAAGGTAAACAAGAAGTTTCACTTACAGACAGTCAATCCTTAACTTACTGATTTAGCTATTGTGCAATAAGGCCACAAGATAAAGGATTATTAGTTGTGGTCAGGCAATACAATACGTTTTCCTTCAGATCATTTGGAAAGTCAGAACACCACTAGCTACATGGAGCCAATACAATTTAATGTCTGCGCCGCTTTAGTGAACTAATTTTTGTTAAACAAGAACTTGAGATGAAGTATTCATTTTCTTAGTAAATAATGTATCAAAGGTAGCAACTATGAGAAAAAAATACTTAGGTTTTTTTTTAATTTGTCTACACACAGACTTCTCATATTTAATCAATAAAGTAAAACTAAACAATTTTTATGAAGTTTTATAAACTGAGATTGGTATTTTTATTAACTACTAAAAATGAGTGAGCAAGTTCTGTCCATAACCTCTTTAAACATTTAACCTTGAACTCATCAAAAATACCTGTACTAAATATAAAAATTAATTAAAAATACCAGAAGAATTCATAGGCAGCCAAACAGCAATGCCAACTGCCAGACAGCACCTAAGAACATAACCTTCAGAATTAGCTCATGATACGGCATTTCACACAACTAAATATTCCCTAAAGAAGGTTCAACCAAATTACTATGAAACCATCATAAATACTTTACTGAGAGCTATTTGTCACCGTCATTGAGACCAGATGGCTTTTCTGTGTAATTCACTGCAGAAAGAAACAATGGAATGAACTTCCAGCACACTCTGTGTTTTCTGGCGGCAACTGATACTGTGTTACATTCCCATAACTTCTTTCCTTGGAGAAGGTACTAAAAGATAACGTATTTCTGTTTTCAAACAGTCATATTTGAAGTTTCTGAACAGTATTCACCTAAGACAAGACTCTCTCTGGAAACAACTTGTGGTAAGTATTGGTATGCATGGACGAAATGACACGTTGTAAGCCTTTGGACAAACTTGGGCAACTTGTTTGATAAGAAAATAAAGCTTAGAAGCAAAATCTAAATAGCAAAAGATAAGACAGAAAACCATTAAATAACAAAGGTTATTGTCTGAAAGGGCATGGACTGTTGAATACAAGCTATGTGAGAAGGCAAAGGTTATTGTCTAGATCAAGTTAGTTAACAACTTACCAACTACTGAAGCTCCTCTTTCGGCAAAAGCCAGAGCATATGCTCTCCCCAAACCTAGTTTAAAAAAATAAAAGTAAAAAAAAAAGATTCAATTTATCTCCTAGATCATAATTCAGAGAAAATGCTATAAAAAAAATTTAAATTTTGTAAAGAAAAATACACTAAATCAACACAAACACTCTGAAAATTTGAATTATACCCCGAGGACTTAAAAGTTTCACATTAAGTTCAAAACACAAAAGTAAACAAACAGGGAAATTGTAGCCAAAACCTCCAGTCAAAAGAAAAAAAAAAAATCCCCATGCTTACTCTTTGTTATTGCACTCAACAGAACCATCAGGGAAAGCTGTCTGCTGCTGAGTGTGTGCTTGTGATAGAAAAACACATTTGTAAGGCAGAAAGTTTAATATCTTGACATAACCTTGAAAGAGGACAGGATGTTTCAAGTTAATTGACTACATTCTAAGTGAGTGAGATACTTCCCTGGTTAATCTTTAAGATTAAATTTAAAATTTAAATTTAACAAAATTTAACTGTGACTAAAGACGTACTGACAAAAGCCCTCCAATTATTTGCATACAAAGGAATCACTTAATACTGCCGTTAACCAGATGCATCCATAGTTTACCTATAGGAACAGAAGACTGTCATTTTTGCCTCACGTACAAAAGCAAGACTCTTGCACTTTTACTCTGACTTAGATTCTAGCTGTGTTATACATTAGTTATTTGTTATGAGAAATGATTTACAGAGATATTATCCACTGTACCAAAAGTTATTGAAATAAATTATAACAATCCTTTTTTTGGTTCCAAAAGAACCTGAGATTCGAATGATGAAAAGATGATCAGCCAGAAAAAAGTCTGTCAGAGTGCAACAGTATCTCTTTGCCCCTCACCAAAACATTCAAAGCTAGCTCTCAAAAAGAAAAAATGGGGGGGAAAACCACACCAGAACTGCTTAGACTGTTTTGAAACACATCAATCTCACGCCAACAAATTGGAATTTTCCTTAAGACTCCTATGAGCCTCTGTAATGGAGAGTATCACATGTAAGATGCATATACGGCCACTTTCCTGATGTAACCCAAGTCCAAGAAAACTTTTTTTTTATTTGAAAAGCCATACAACTGAGAAGTGCACAAAACCCAGATTATGTTATACGCGCCAGCATTCTCAATTGGCAAGCCAGGAGTGAATGCTTAAACAATGACAGTGTTGCACGACAGGCAGGAACAACACTTCACAAGGGATTTGCCAAAGTGAAAAGGAACTACTGTATTTTTAGACACCTGTGTATCTGAAAACAGGTGCCACTTCAAAACAAATTAGTGATTCAGATGTTCTAGATAAATTCCCAACTCTGATCTGTTCACCAGCATCCAATTCAAAAATCAGTGTTGACAAACAATGCTATTAGCAGTACAGTCTAACTACAGTGCTGTAAACTAAATAAAGGCAAAACGAGAACTAATCTGAAGTTAACAGAGCTTCCCTTTATCTTAGCTTGAATCTAACCAACCACTTACCAAAAATCTAATGTGAAATGAAACATCCAAGGTCAGTTTTCTCTGTTAACAAATCATTTTCAACCAGTCTAATAAGAGAAGTACAAGGGTCATTGTACCCACACTTATGACAACCAATTTTTGCTCCATGCAGTGCTTTTTAGAAGCTTTGTTACTGCCAAGGTGTCTTTGTTTTGCTATTACCTAAGGTCTTAACCTGTTCTTCATTGAAGTTTGTTATATACAGAGAAGCATATAAATATAGGTGTGGTAAAAGCTGAAAAGCACCATACAAAGACCTGGCCTCAATTATTCTCAGGTTTGTCACCTTCAGGTGATGTGAGTGGACTGTTCAGCGCCTTCCACAAAATCTCATATTCTTGGTCCTTCTCTGCAAAACGTCACATAATCTAAGCCCACAAAATTACTCCTTTGGCTATATGCAGCTTCACAAAAAAAGAGCAGAACTCCACTATGGGAAGGCAGAACCTTCTCAGAGGACAGCGGAACAAGCTCCTTTGGCAGCTCACCACAGCTACAAACCTTGCCTCTCGTCCACACTCACAGCTCATATCTTCACTCGAAGTACCACAGTAGGCAAAGGTCAACGCATGCATTCAGAGAAGAAAGAAAAAAGGAAAAAAAAAAGAAGAACACCCCCCCCCCAAAACAAACAGAAACCAACCAACCAACCAAAAAAAAAGCCAACCCAAAACTCCCAACCAACCCCACACCACAACAACAAATACAAACGCATTTCCTGGTAAAACCAAGCATTCCACTGCAGAACCTCCTCCCCTGGAGCGGCCAGGCCCGCAGACCACCAACAGTGCAGGCCAGACCTACTGCTGAAAGAAATCTCACCCCACCCTTTCACCTCTCTGCTGCCCTCTCTCCTACGCCTTCAGGCTGCCTCCCAGGAGGAGGTCAGGGAAGGCAGCAGCAGGTGGGAGGCTGCTTTCTGCAACAGCGCTGAAAAACGAGCAGATCAAACCCCTGCCGGAACAAAGCGTGCCAGACCACAGACCACGCAGGTTACAAGCGTCAATCACTAGGTCCAAGGCAAAACTGGACGGATTTAGGATACGAAAACAGTACACGAAGCACGACATCCATTACCGACTAGTGTGCAGCAGCGTTACTCCTCCCATGTATTTCAAGGACAGAAAGCACGCGTCTGGGGGCACTACTAACGCGCTGATTTTCAGCGGGACTAGGGCTGCAGCTCCAAAGCACTGCAAGAAGCACCGCGGTAACCCCTGTACAGCCTTGGCA